CCCACAAGTGTTGCCCCCTCCCAAGGGACCTTCTCCCCCTTTGCTCACTGGATTGTTAACCCCACTCTCACCAACCCTCCTTGACCAGCCATGTTCCTGCCTCAGGGCCTCTGCACCTGATCTTCCCTCTTCCTCAAACCCCCATTGCCAGCTTCTTGCTCCTGACTCAGATCAGACTGTGGGGATTCAGTTCCCAACCACAGCTCTCTTGCCCTCAGACCTTGCCTCCCTGGCCTGTCCTGTGTCTATTTCTTGAGCTATAAAACAGGTGATGACGATGATACCATCACTGAATTCACTGAGAATTTATACAACTAGTGTTACAGGAAGGGCAGAATGGATGATAATTCAAACCAAAAGCCATTTATTGAGCACCTACTGTATGCCAGGCCCTGGACTAGATGCTAGGGACATATCAGTGAAAAAGAAAGATAGAGATCCCCACCCTTAGGGGATGACATTCTGACGGGGAGCACGGTGGATGGTGTGAAATTAAGGGGGGGCAGCAGGGGAGGGTAATGAGGAGGGTTTCTCGGAGGAGGTGATGTTCAAGGCAACCTTGAAGGAGGGGAAGGAGATAAAGGGGCAGGCCATGCAGCTATCTGGAGGAAGAGCACTCTGGGCAGAGGGAACAGCCCACACAAGGGTCCTGAGGCAGGACAGCACTCAAAGCACGAGTTCTGATCCTGACTGTGAGACCTCGGAGATCCCAGTCCTGATTTGAGGTATATCAGTATCTTAGATCAAACGCACAAGCAGAGGCAAAATCCAGGTTGGGGAAGAGGGCAGGGACAAAGGAGTCACCTTCAAACCTAAAGGGACCAAAGGGAGCAGTGTTTCCTTAAGGTGGGCTTGTCTGGGTTTTGGTTTGCAGTGCTGGAGAGGGACCCAGGGTGTCTACTGCCAAACTACATCTCCAGCTGCTTTTAACTGTATTTTGAGACAGGGTCTCACTAAGTTGTCCAGGCTGGTCTCTAACTTGTGATTCTCTTGCCTCAGCCTCCTAGTAGATGGGATTACCACACCCAGTGCAGATAATTTTAAGACAAAGATTTTGAGCAGCTTTTCCCAGAGAGGTCCAACAAGAAGGAACTAACTTTCAGCAGCTGACACTCAAGTTAGACGCCAGGAAGAACTGACAGCCTAGCCTGTAACCCAGCACAGGGAATCTGGTCCAACAGACTGAATTTTGTCCTCAAGACCCAGGGCTCCTGGGGTACCACTGGGTTCCACTTGAATTCCAAGGGCCACCAAATCACAGGCCCTGCTGCCCAGCACGTGTCTGTCAGCCCAGATTCCCGGGGCAGGGGCAGGAGGCTGGACTTGCCTCTGGCTCCCAGGGCCTGGGGTCAGGAGGAAGGACAGGCCACCTTTTGCCTTAATCTGGCCGGGTTCCTGCCTTGGACAAACACACAAAGCGGTGGGTGGAGGTGGAGGCGAGGCCAGTCAAATCAAACACAGAAGGGACAGGGAGGCCACCAAGGAGTCAGGCTGGGGATCTGCTCTGAGGCCAGGGGAGACACCGAGGAGGACTCTGGGAAGAGGGGCTGGCTGCGGGTGAGGGGGGGGGCTGCAGGCAGGAGCCCCCTGGGCCGACCGCGGGGGAGGCCTCGCAGCCCAGCACCACTCACCCTCCTTCCGCATGCCCACCCGGAAGCACTTCTTGAGGCGGCAGTACTGGCACTGGTTCCGATGATGCTGGTCGATTTGGCAGTCACGGTTGGACCTGGGGACACACAGAAGCCGGGCCCCCATGACATCCACACCATCTCCCTGAGCCACCCTGGGAAACACCGGGGGCTCCCTGGGCCGGGGCTGGGCACTGCAGGGCTCCAGGTAGGGAAGGGCGGACCGGGACGGGCAGGTGTCTGGGGAGGGTGCCGGAGCAGGGGTGCTGGAGTGCCGTGGAGCTCTCCAGGGACAGGGGCAGCAGGACAGTGAGAGCCAAGGTGCCAGAACTGAATGGTGTCACTGTATTTGGTCCATGTCAGGCTAAGAGGTAGAGCCCCTGTCCCCAGGGTCACTATGGGGGAGAGAAGGGACCTGGTCAGGGAGCTGGGTTTGTGAGTGACTAAGGCACTAGGGGCCAGGCCATGTGCCAGGGGTCTATGGGGTCACACCACTGGGGACCCGGGCGCACTGCCTGCCCAGGGCCTGCACTAAGAAGGAATGAACCCAGGAGCCCCTGGTCCCCTTGAGGGCCATGGCCACCTCCCCTCCTCTGAGTCCATCCAGGCCGGAAGCCACCCTGAGCCGCTTCCTCTGCGCAGCCCGGTGGCCTGCTGCTGTCCCTTCCAGGAGGTCCCAACAGGCAGTGGGCTCCCCGCCAGGCTCAGCCCCCGAGGGAAAAGCTCAGGCCTTGTTCTTCGGCTGTCCCCAGAACCCTCTCCCCTGGGCCCCTGCACTCCCCCATGGGCTGCGGGCTCCCTGAGGCCCAGGGCCAGACACCCCTGCACCAAGGGGACACGGTGACAGACTGAAATAAACCCTCCAAGCGTTAAAGGCACAGAGGGGCACCCAGCTGTGACGCCCAGCCAAAACTGCACGGTGGCCTTCCTACAGGGATGCTGTGGGCCTGGGGCGGGGTGAGGAGAGCCAGCCCCAGCCAGGGAACGCAGAGGCAGGGCAAGCAGGGCGGAGGCCAGGCACCAGCCACTGAGCCCAGCAAGAGGCCCGGCTAGGGCAGAGGGAACTCAGGCAGAACCCGAACAAAGCCCCAGCAGACTGCAGGGGGAGGATCCAGGGCAGCCGGGTGGAACGGGCCAGGCCTGGGGCCCAAGGGCAGGGGGCCTACTCAGGCAGGGCCTCCTGACCTCGGGGGAGGCCCTGAGCCTTTGGCCTCAACTTTCCCAACTATAGAATTTGAACAGATCTGTCTCCCCAGATAAGGAAACAGTAAGTTCTTCCTGTTATCTCACCTAAAGGGTATATACCTTGCCCAATCACATGGCCCAGATCAGCCTCCTCTTTGGCTTTTGGCCTTTGGCCTCCAGTCCTATTTTTTTCTTTCTTTTTGGAGATGGGACCTTGCTATGTCGCCCAGGCTGGCCCAGAACTCCAGAGCTCAAGCCATCCTCCTGCCTCGGCCTCTGGAGCAGCTGGAACCACAGTGTGCACCTCTCTGCTCACATCCCTTCGCGGCTCCCCACCGCCTCAGTCTAGCACTTGAGACCCTTTGGCTCCAGCTCCTCCAGTGCCTGAGCAGTCTGGTCTTACAACCCACTCCCCCAGCTGCCACCTGGGCCCCCCTCAGGAGTGCCCTCATGCTTAAAAGAACCACCCGGGTCCCTCCTCCAGGAAGCCTTCCCTGACCCCCAGGCAAACCCCTGTGCTCCCTCCCTAGGAGGCCAGACCCAACAGGCTGCGGGCACTGGTGTCTCCTCCAGACTGAGAGCCCGCTGAGGACAAGGCTCGGGCTGGGGTCTTTCTAGGGCACTGGCATGAAACCCCCCAGGCCAACTGGAGGCTCAGAGAGAGACAGTGACTCCCCTGGGCCACACAGCTCCGAAGAATCTGGCGGCCCCAAACAACTCCCCCTCTTGGTGCCCCCTGACCCCGCCCTCAGGTACACTGGGATCCTCAAACTGCCCGAGCCCCCTCCTTTGCCCTCCCTAAAGACCCAACCAGAGCACGGGCATTTATTCCAGCAGCAAGAATGAGGCCAAAGTCTGGTGGCCCAGTTAGCGCTGGAGGAGGGAGCAGGCCAGTCCCCCACTGCCTACCTGCCCCAACCCACCCCCACCCCCCAGCAGGTTCTGACCAGGGACCTGGGGCCAAATTCCAGCCTCAGTCATCTGGGTCCCCACATGGTGCCTCTGCCAACCAGCCCGGGGTCAGCAGCTCTCTCTGGGGATGCGATGACTCCAACTCAGCCCCCTCCCTCCCTGGCCCCACAGTTCCCCTTGCTGAGGCCAGCTGAATCAGATACCCTCCATGTGGAATCCAGGGCAGGAGGCAAGATGTCCCTGGACCTCAGTTTTGTGCATCCGGGAAATGGGACTGTCCATTCTACCCCTACAGAGACCACGCAGTTCCTGGGGGGTGCAGGGTGGGGCCTGTCAGTGAAGGAGAGGATATCCACCATTCCCTAGGCGGGACACCCAACCCTTCCCCCAGCGGACCTTCCATCCCCAGCACCAACAGGAAGAGCCGGCACAGCCACAGCCACACCCTGCCGGAGGGGTCTCCAACTGGGACCACCCAGGACTCCTCCTCAGAAGCATTTCATTCCCATATCCTCTCAGTCGCCTCAAACTTCACAGGACTGTCCAGGAGCCCCAGGTCTGCACCCACCCCTTGGTGTGTGCGCGGGGGTGCGGTCAATTCCGGTGGCCCTGCTGGCCCTCCAGTGGTGGTTTCCGGTGACCCAAAGCCCAGGGAGAGCCCAGGGGGTGCCCCCTGACAGACAAGCCCAGCTCCCCTTCCACAGCAGGGCCCCTTATGCGAAGAAGACCACCCTGTGCCATCCCAGCCTCCTTCCAGCTGCCGCGGTAGCCTGGGCGACTTTGGAAGTGATATTTGACCCCAAGGGCGCGCCGTATCGATCCGCGCGGCCGCAGACAATGGCCCCTGGACGCTGCGAGCTCCACGGTCCAAGTTCCACGTTCGATTCCCGCGGGCTCTGCCGCGCGCCGAATCCCCAAGAGAAGGGGTGCCCCGGGGTTAGGGTCCCACTCCTGACAGCACCCCCAGCCCGTCCCCCGCGGCGATGACCCCCTCCTCGGAGAAAAAGAACAGAGAGCAAGAAGCCGAGGCAGAAGCCGCGAGGGACCACCTGATTGGGGGGGGATCTGCATCGATGCAGCGCCAACTGTATACACAACCCCAGGAAAGGAATGGCGGGAGGGGGGCTATGTCCCTAGCTCAAAGGGGGAGTGGAGGCGCAGGGAAGGTCAGCACCAGGCCCAAGGTGACCGAGCAGGTCAGAGGCCCGCCCCAGGCCGGGGCTGGTGCCCGGCGGCGGTGCGCGCGCGGATGGGGGGCTCACCGGCAGGTGTAGCTGAGGTTGCGGCGGATGCTCCGCTTGAAAAAGCTCTTGCAGCCCTCGCAGGTGAAGACGCCGTAATGCTTGCCGCTCGACTTGTCCCCGCACACCACACAGTCCACCTGCAGCCCCGGCCGCTCCTCGTCGCCAGGCTCCGCGTCGCTGGCGGCGCCGGGGGGCGAGGCCGAGTC